ATGTGATGAAGTGTACAATTGTGTTTACCTTTTTGCAAGGAAATAGGAAGATCAAGGTCAGAAACAAGAGGTGGAGCTGGTGGGGGGACAACTATTGGATCTGTTGACGATGAAGAAGCTAGAGGAGGAGCTGGTACATGTCGTCGATGCGTATACACTTGGCGGATGGGTGGCCATTCAACAGGAAGTTGTACTGGAGGCGAAGACTTAGTCATAACCGGAACAAGTGGGATGGGGTCCTCAATAGGATCTAGAAGAGGAGTAGGAGTAGGAGGTGAGGAAGAAGAAGAGACATCATCTGACCCAGAAAAAAGCAGAATAGATTCAAAGAAAGTAACATCAAGGCACATAAAGGAATGCCGAGAATTGGGGTTATAACACTTATACCCTTTCTAGGTCCAAGAATAGCCAAGGAAGATACACTTGGTGGGTCGTGCCTTTAATTTGTCCAGTCCGGGTCTGAACAAAACATACACACCCAAAAACCTTGGGAGTAAGGGGAAAAGGTAGGAAACAAAGTGGTGAAAGGAGAATGACCTTCAAGGATGGGCGAAGGCATCCGGTTAATGAGGAAACAAGATGTAAGCACAACATCACTCCAAAAACGTTTGGGTTCATTCATATGATGCAAAAGGGATTGAGCAATTACCAAAAGATGGTGGTTCTTTCTCTCAGCCACCCCATTTTACTGAGGTGTATAGGTACATGAAGTTTGATGGATAATGCCATGTTATACCAAATACTCCTGAAACGGTGTATAAAAGTATTTGTAGCCATTATTAGAACGAAGAATCTTAATGTGTACACCAAATTGGTTGCAAATTTCAGCATAAAATATTTGGAAAATGGAAAACAATTCACTCATTTCTTTCATTAGGTAAAGCCACATCATCCTTGAATAATCATCAACAAAAATAACAAAGTATTTGTAACCATTGTATGACTATTTTATTTGGACCCCAAATATTTGAATGAACTAAAGAAAAAAGACTCGACATACGATTATCAACCCTAGGACTAAAGAGAACACGATGATGTTTCCCCAACTGACACGACTCACAATCCAAAATAGAAATACGACTCAACGATGGAATAAGTGACTTCAATGCTTTAAGCGATGGATGACCAAGTCTATAGTGCCATTGAAGAGGAGAAAGAGATGTCTGATGAGTTATTGACAAACCATCACCACCATCAAGATAATATAGTCCACCAGCTTCAGGCCCTCCACCAATTTTCATCCCCGTCTTAAGATCTTGAAAAGCACAAGAAGAGGGGTAAAAGGTGATAGAGCAACTAAGGGACTTGGTTAGCTTACTAACAAACATAAGATTAAAAGGGAATTTGGGAACATACAAAACTGAGTACAGGGATAAAGGGTCTATGTCAACATTACCAACACCACAAATGGAGGATGTGGAACCATTAGCAAGGGTAACAAAATGTGATGTGGAGCAATGTGAAAGGGAGGAAAACATGCTTGGAGTCACAGTCATATGATCAGAAGCTCTAGAGTCGATAATCCAGGAAGTGGGTTTGGATGCCAGACAAGCCATACCTTAATGTGCGAGAGTAGTTGTATTCTATTGAGAAGTGACTTGGATAAACCACTCATACTCATCACATGGGACACTCATCATCTCCTTCCCGGAGACATCTGTAGATGTAGAGGGCATCTGATCAGCTTGTTGGATATCCTGTCTTGAACTACCATCACTGGCCAGTGCATGATTTTCCCAAGTTGAAGGTGGGTCGTGCAAGTCATAACAAAAGTTAATGGTGTGCCCTTCCATACCACAATGTGTACACCTCCTCGGACCATTACTACGTCCTCTGCCACGAGCTCCCCTTGAATCTTGACCTCCAACACGTTCACCACCACGACTACACATGGGTCCACCACCACCACTACAGCCATACATGGATCCACTGCTACCACTACGACTGGACTGAACTCCCCAAGTTCCACCTCTAACACCACGGCCTCCCCCTCTCGTCACTACAAAGGCAAACATGCCAGAGATACTAGAATTCTCTATGGGCCTAACATTAATCTTCCGAAGACGGGCAAACACCTTCCTAGTATCTGTGCTCTCACTGGTTCATAATCAGAATTCAGCCCTACTAAAAATCTGGTCACATCTAGTTGTTCTCTTTGTTGTTGCTGAATCTTAACATCAGAAGTGAGGGGATGGTACACATTCAACTCATTACGAAGGTTCCTCATGTAGCATAGTACTCAAGACTTAGATTACCTTGTTGCAGATTAAAGTACTCCTGATAAAGCTGATACACTCTAGTAGTATTGTTTTGTCCCAAGTACAATTTCTTGACATGGTCCCAAATCTCCTTGGCTGTATCTAGGAACATAAAATTCACACTGATCTTGGGTTCCATACTATTCCATAACTAGGTCATAATCTATGCATCTTCTTGTTCCCAATCACTATACTCCTAAGAGTCAGCAGGAGGTTTTTCTTCTTTTACATGCTTCACTTTCTTCTTAACTCTAAGAAAGACCTCTACAGATTTCGCCCAAGGCACATAATTCTCCTCATTCAACTTGATAGAAGTCATCTGAACATTCAGATAGTCGGTGGAAACTATAACACTAGATTTGTGTTTACTACTGTCTCCCATATTTGAATTCCTTTTTTTTCGTATATCAAACTTCTAAATCACTTTTCACCACACTGCACACTAGTGAAACCACCTACAGTCACAATTTTCAGCAATACCTGTCACTGATTTCTTCACTTTCAGCACCACAAAACTACCACACAACTACCTGAATACACACCATAGCACTAGCAACTCACCAACCACTCGATTCACACTGAAACACACATATAGCTCACCTATTTGATCACCAAAAACCCACCTGACACTCGACTGTCCACTGTACCACCTGAAACAGCCCCTGTGTACCATCGATTAGAGGGCTTCCTACAAACTACCACAAACACCCACTAAACCACTGACAAGAGGCATGAAAACCTCCAAAGGGAAAGGGCGATCACTCCTTTTCAGCGCTTTTCCCTATCTCCAATGGATGATGAAGAAAACTGTAAAACCCTAGGCTGGACAGCGATAGAACAGAATTTTGGGCAGATCTGATTTTGTCACAGTGGCTCTGATACCATGATAAAGTTCAGACCTGCACTAGAATTCTGTTAGAAATAGTATTAGAGGAAGATTAGAGGAGATAGAAGAGAGAAGAAAGGAAGAGAAAACTGGTTCAAACAAGAGAGAAAAATCACTCTCTCTAGTTGGCCAAGTTATATTTATATGTTTCTATTAAATAAAGCAAAAGACTATTATGTCCCTACTTAAGTATGGGACACATCACTTAACATAAACATTACACATCAGCTTAAACATAAATAGAAAGACTAAACTACCCCTATACAGTCGACACTAACACAAGGCAAGCAAGGCCTTTGCGAGACTTTAATTAATACAGCTTCAGGGGGCAACTCGCAATGTTAGGGTGTTTTGTCTTTGTGAGACTGAATTAATTCCATTTCGTCTGCGATCCTTTGTTGCGCTGCAAGGCCTTTGTTTCATCATCCCCTTTGGATCTTATTATGCATATCGATATTAGTGGGAATTTACTTCTTTGTCCTCAAATATATACTTACTTTCCTACAGTTACAACAGTTAATACTCCCAAGGCAAAGAGTGCTGAAATCAATTACAAAGCAGCCTAAAAGAACTCTCCCCTATTTGTCCCTTGTTTAGCTAAACTGTCGTGCATCCCATTGGCTGATCTTCTACTCCACTTGAAGCTGACTCCAATCTCCCTTGGTAAATAAATTATCTCCCTCATGACTTGCCTGTGGGTCCACACCCCCAAATTCCTTGTTTGCATCCACCCTATCACTAGCTTAGAATCACCTTCCACTTCTATTTGCTGAAACCCCAACTGTGTAGCCAATTTCAGTCCATGGAGGAGAGCCATAGTTCTTGCTCTCAGTGAGTCTCTCACCCCTATTGGACCAAAATAGAGAGCCATGGTCCTGGGTTGCCAAAAGACCTCCTATCAAAGCTTTGAATTGCTAAGGAACCCAAGTCTCCTGAACCACAGCCTTGATAGATGATGAATTAGCTACTGCATTCCATCCCCTGATTATATCTTGCACTGAAAATTCCTCGAACATTTGTTTTTACCTAATGTGCTACTTTGAAAGTGATGCTTTCTATTAGCTTCTCCTTGGATTTTGTTGAACCTTGAAATGCACGATTTTTTCCTTTCTTCTCAAACTGTCTGCAAGATTTCTGCTCTAGTGGTTTTCCACATAAGCCTTCCTCTTCCCTTTGGTTGTCTAAAGAAGCTAGCATCAACAAAGCTATCATAGAAAGAGGAAGCAGGCACGTGCAACCAAATAGAGAGGAAAATCAATACCAAATACATGAAACAAATGAACAGGAGATTAGTAAGTGTACTACTAGTTATTGCAAAGGATACAGGCATGAAGAGAAAGGCACCAATTTGTCCTTTTTTGAACCACTTCACAAGTATTAACCCTGTTAAGAACTGCTTTCTAGCAAAAAGCTCTGATCTTTTGAGGCATTGGATTATACCATACTTCTTTATCTGGAAAGGACAAAGCCTGACTAGGGGAGCTGAGGAAGGCAGTGAAAAAAGAAGCAGAAGAGAAAGAGCCAGAAGGAGAAGCTGTCCAGGTCCTGTTATCCAGACAAGACTGGTCCAAGAAAACATTGCTCAGAAGAGAAATAATTTTGAATTTCATCAACAGTTACCATTTCAACTTTCCTAGTCCCTCTCCTTAGAATACTATTTGAATATATCATTTATTAAAGGAATTTTATTGAAATCAGTGCATATTGATGTAATTTGGACAGGTCTGACCAGAGTATCAACCTTAAAAATATCATAGTTTATGACAGAATAAGTAACTTTTCTTTCACTTTTATCATGCTTTAATCATGTTATCTGATTCTTTATATCTGTGTTGGATACATTTCCTCAACTGCAGGAAAGATGTCTCCGGGAATCATGCTATGCATTCTTTCTACCGTGATGTTGTCCGCCTCCAGGTCATGCTTTCAATTTTCAAATGCTCATTTATGTACATTTCTATGCATCCATGTTGAGTAATTTTTGAAATGACAAAAATGTATGTGCATCAATATACTGCTGTTTCTGACAAAGAACATTTAGCACAATATTTCCATCAGTAATGAAATCCAATGCAAGATACAAACAACTCAAAAATAGATAATTCTGATTTACTTGCTCAATTCATGTCTAAGTCAATAATCTTGAACTTATTGGATGGATAATCAAATGGACATTCTAACTAAATCAAGCAGAACAGTTGACTTTTGACTCCTAAAATTGGCCACAAGTACAGTGACATAATCTGAGATAGTTTATGTCTAGGTTGAGGCTACTAAAAACTTTGAATAAGAATAATAGTGTTTGTGTCCCACTTCAGGAAGTTTTAATCTCTCTAAACAAATGCTTGAATGGAAAGCTTATCTTGGCAAAGTTTTAGGGCCTTTAGGCCCGGAACTTGGGCAATGGGTACTTTGTGTCCCAATAGTGCTTCCTTTTGTGAGATTCCTGGATTATTTGTACCAGTATTGTCAGTTAATGGGGTCAGGTCTGGATCCAAGTAGGCCTGGTCTCAACTGGATAAGTAAATTTGAGAAATAGGTATTTTATGGTGAAAAATAAGCAATAGGTATTAGACTTGGGGTATCTTTGTAATATGCCAATATACATATGCATAATTATATATGCAATTATATATATAGCTGGTTTGGAGCAACCAAGACCGATCCTTACCTTATAAATGTATAATGAGGATGCATAATGCAGATCCAGACCCTATATAATTAGGATTAGTTTGGTTTGTGTTTGTTGCGTCTACTGACCCATTGACAGCCCTAGCTTGTACCTCTTCTCATTTTGAATTGACTTGCAAATCCTTTCCCTTTCTAGGTAGGAAAAAAATATTATTAATTATGTAGAGAGCTTGACCTACCCTATTCCTGCCACATGTGAATGGTATGACTAGTTCAAACTGTTTAAGTAGGGGACCCTCTAGATTAACTATGGCAATGTGAATGTTGAGAGGATGAGTGGGAAAACTAGAAAGAATAGAGTCAGATATGGACTTATTCAAAGGAACCTAGTAGTAGCATCAATAGGTGGCAAAATGAGGGAATGTAGACTAAGATGGTTTGGGCATGTGCAAGAAGCCCATTTACAGCACCAGTAATAAGTGATCTGTTACAAGTTGAAGGGGTCAGAAGAGCAAGGGGCAGACCAAAAAGGACATGGGTTGAAGTATTGGGAAGTGATTTAAGGGCCCATAATTTAACAATGGATATGGAACTCAACAGAACAGAATGGCTGAGCAGCATTCATGTAGCCTACCCCATATAAGTTGGACAGGGCTTAGATGATGATGATGATGACCTACTCTGGTTGGCTACATGTTTACTCATCTAGTCCTACTTTCCACCTTGTACTGGTGGTTTTCCCAACTAAAGTTAGCAATGGAGAGCTTTAAAATTTTTTAATATTAAATTTGCCCATAAAAGGGCTTATAGTGAACATTTTGCAAGATCTCTTGGCCCAAAGCTTGGTCCATGAATAAAGGGAGGAGAGAGGAACATGGGATATCCTTTTGGATTCCAAACTTGTTTACCATGTGCAAGGTTCCTGAGTTGTTTAGGAGCTTCCCTAAATGTCTAGACTACATGAAAGGTTCAGGTTGAGGTGGGACTGCCTAAAGCCTTAATCCAAGCATGGTTGCATTGTGAGTTTAATGTTCTTTAAAACCAACCTGCTTGCATCCCCTACTCGAAAGTGCTCCATTCTAATTCCTGCAAACTGCTTGTGGATGATGGCCCATTGTGCAAGAGTGCTTTCAACCTTCCCAACAAGTCTCTAGGGCCAAAAAAGGAATAGCATCTTAATGGTAGCAGTTAATGGAAACCATTAATCCTTAACTGTTTGGTGAGTACTTGTGCAGTGAGCACCTTTTTTTTTTTTTTTTTTTTGAGAAAGGGATACAAAAACTATCTCGTCTATCACTCCCTCAAATAGGGGACCACAGATGCCCAAACTAACCTATATGAACAAAGCACCCAGCTCAAAATAAACATTGTGAGGAACATCCTTAAAAACAGTACGAGTATCAGGCCAAGAATGTACATATGCAGTATTCTCTCTCTCACTCTCTCTCTCTCTCTTGAATCTGTAAGGTAAAGTGTTTCATTAATATCAAAAGGCCAAATACAATAGGGCCCCTGTACAATGAGAAACTGTACTGCGGAAAATACAGTAAAACTCATCAAAGTCAACCCCCAATCAACAAAAAAAAACACTATTTTTCTTACAAAAAGGAAATCAAGCTCAAAAAAAAAAAAAGAACAAGTGTGTCTGTTTTAAAAAAGTGTGATTTGTCAGCCACGAAAACACCATCCCCATAATCCTGTTGAGCACCTCTTCTTTTGATTTCTGCCTCCCTGCAAAAATTCTATTGTTTCTTTCACCCCACACTGCCCAGAAAACAGCAGAGGGGAGGATGCTCCAAGCTACCTTACCTACCTTGCTAAGGCCTCCTAAGAACCAAGCCTCTATGAAGCCCTTCACACCAGCCGGGAAGCACATTTTAACTCCAAAAAACTCCCGCAACCTTACCCAAATCCAGTAAGTGAAGTCACAGTGCAGTAATAGATGGCTAGCAGTCTCCACACTTCCATTACATAAGATGCAATCCAGATCTGCCACCTCTAGGCCTCTTCTAACTAAGTTTTCCTTGGTTGGAATCTCATCCAGCACTGCAGTCCAAACAAAGAAAGCTAGCTTTGATGGTACAGACCTGATCCAGATCCTGTTACTTGGAAAGTGAGAGGTATCCTCCCTTGATAGACAGTTAAAGAAGGATTTCACTGAGAAGGAGTCCGATTTCTCATACAACCATTTCCTTTTGTCCTCCCCTGTTCCAGAGATCTTGGAGTCGTATAAAATCTGCAGCAAGTTTACCAAATACTCCACCTCCCAGTCGTTTAAACTCCTCCTGAAAAGAGGGTTCCAGATACAATGTCCATTTTGTCTCTCCATATGATCAGCCACTGATGCATCCTTATTTACAGCTATATTGAACAGATCAGGTAATACGGTCATTAGGGGGCCATCCCCGCACCAGTAATCCTTCCAGAAAGCACCCTATGGCCACTTCCCACTTCATATTTTATGCCCTTCAAAAACTGAGGACGAATTTTCTGGATTGCCTTCCAAATTGAACAACCATAGGGGGATCTTACCTCTTCTGTCTCTCACTCCCTGCTAGATCCATACTTTGAAACAACTAATCTTCTCCACAAACTGTCAGTGTGATCATTGAATCTCCACAGCCATTTCCCTAGCAAGGCTGTGTTAACATCTTTCACTGATCTTATCCCTAAACCCCCCTTAGCCCTGGAGGTGCAGATTTTCTTCCAATTTACAGATGACATTTAGATTCCCTTCCCCTCCATAAGAAGTCTCTCATCTTTTCCTCTAACGCTGCAGCCCATCTAGCTGGAATTGGGAATAAAGACAGATAATAAACAGGGAGGGAGGATAAAACACTCTTAATTAAGGTGACTTTTCCCCGATTTGACAGATATTTAGTTTTCCACAAGGCCAGCTTTCTATCAACTTTCTCAATTATGGGTTCCCAGATAGTTCTGGATTTACAGTTTTCACCCAAAGACATACCCAGGTATTTTGGTGGGAGTTTCCCAACTCTGCATCCCCAATCATCTGCCCAAGATTCTAGGTTTGCCACTTCCCCAACAGCCATTATCTCATCCTTTTGAATGTTAATATGTAAGCCTGTAACAGCCTCAAACCATCTTAGGATTGCCTTTACATTCCAGATTTGTTCCCATGAAGCGTCACAGAAAAAAAAGTGTGTCATCTGTGAATTGCAGAAGAGAGATCTCTACTTCCCCATTACCTAGTTGGAAGCCTTCCAATAGCCCTCCCACCCTGGCTCTCTCTACCATCCTGAAGAGGGCTTCTGTTACACGGATGAATAAGAGAGGGGAGAGGGGGTCCCCTTGTCGGAGACCACCAGTGCTCCTATATAGTCCAAACGAGGAACCATTTACAAGAACTGAAAACCAGGAAGAAGAAAGACATACTTTTATCCAATTTCTCCATTCGATACCGAAGTTCATCCTCTCTCTCTCTCTCTCTCTCTCTCTCTCTTTGAATTGGTTATTAAAAATCCTGAAGTTTCTTTCCTACCATATATTCCATATGATCACCAAAAGAATGGCACTCCAAAGAATCTTGCCTCTTCTGCTTAACTATTCAGCTTCTAGATTGTTACATCTTTCCTACTGATCTTGGGTGGATAATCCACCAAAAAAAAAGAGAGAGATTCAAAAGACATTACATGAAGTGCCAGTGCAAGAGTAGGTGGTCAGAGTTTTCCTCTTATTCATTGCAGAACACAAACTGTTGAGGTAATAATAACCCCTGCCCCCACCTCCCTCTTCCTGCAGCCCTTCAGTAAGACCATCAGCTCTCTAGTTAGCAGATCCATGAATGTAGCAGAACATGAAGATACTAAAGAACCCCCATCAGAAAATAAGATGTCAATGATCTCTCCTCTCTAGTATGGCTATGGCTCTCCAGAAGAATAATCCCTTTTCCACCCATTGGCAATCGGAACCTCTCCAAATAATGATCCTCTCAAACTGAATCACCATAACCCACTGACCTGACTAGAAATAAAGATTGTGCTTTTACCATTGTAAATGCCTCCCCAATCATAGGAGGGCTAGGATTTCCTAAAAAGCAGCCATCAAATTTTAATTTGATGGACAAAGATTGATCGTGGGTTAGATAGAAGGGCTAACCTGAAACCTAGTGGGATGCTGGGGATACTCCATTGTCCATATTATACATTCTTTTTCATATGTCACTAAAGAAGATTTCAGATGCCAATCAAAAAGTTTTAATTTGATAGATTAGAAGTGGCCAAAAGCATTCCTTGAATATGGTGGTGGATGATGATGTTGATTGTATTGCTACAGGTTACCCAGTTCATGGGGGAATTTTTTGGTTGCTTCTTTTAAGATGAGGTTAAACTAAATGCACTTCTTATTTGTAGACTTCTACTCTACCTAGAATGCCTATCATTTCCCTTTTCTTTATACCCTGAAGTATGATTGAGATGATGCGACCCATCCATCATGTGCCATCATTGGGTTTGTCTATGTTCTATGATATGGCTCCAAAAAATAAAATAAAAAGAAATGAACTTAGTGCCATTCCCCAAAATGGGGGGAAGTGGAGCCAGGTTCTAACTTAAATTATGATAAAATTTTTACTATTTCCATTAAAACAAAAAAAAGTTTACTTATGTATGGTTTATTCAAGCATTTCCCTTTCTAGGCTAGTATGTAATGATAACTTCTGTTTCATTGTCATGTTTTCAGGGTGTAGCCAAAAGTTTGCAGAGAGCTTGTGTTTCAAGAATGGAACCATTTCAGGCATGTGCTAGTTTTATTTCTATTTTTCTTATGATATTCCATAACATAATTGACAGTTTCTTGTTGCTTCCCAAAATAGTTTAATTGGAAGCTGCTGTTTTGTGCTTTGAAAATGTGATGACAGTGCTTCTTCCCACAAGAAATTGTTAAGAACACAAAGACCCCGGTTTTTCTTGTTAACCCAGCCTATGATTTTTGGCAGGTAAGTATCTTTATACATATTTTACATTTGTTTATAATGATGATGGTGATGGTTTTCCAAACATTAGTATTTCTTGCATTTTGACTTGTTTTTCAGATACAACACATTTTGGCACCAGATGCATCTGACCCTTACAACAACTGGCGCAAGTGTAAATTGAACATAAACAATTGTAACGCCAGCCAGATTGAAATACTACAAGGTAATAAATTCAAGACTCTATTCCTCTCCTACCTAAATGGTCTCAGTTCAACAATCTATTGAACTTGATGACCACAATCATTCAATGCACATACTCTTTCCTGGACCATTAGGTGAAGAAATTTCATCACAAAAATGATTTGAAGCATGGTATGGTTAGGCCATTAGGGTCATCTCCTAGATGAGTGTAATTGAATTGGAGGTTCCTGACCATCTGAAAGAACTTCCCTTTCTTTCACCTTTATATGTTTTACAGTTAAGTTACCTATGCTATAAATATACCATACAGATGTTGTCATCCATGTTATAGTGTGCTCTACTTACAAAGTTCTCATGTGCAGGATTCCGGAACTCCATGCTAAAGTCTCTTCATGAGTTCCAGCAGAACAAGGACGGGGGGATGTTCATAAATTCTTGTTTTGCTCACTGCCAGACATGGATGGCTAGTACATGGCATTCGCCTAGCTCTCCAAGAATCAATAACAAGGTAAGGGGACATATTAACGTCTGTTAGAGTACTAACACTAAATGATATTTGTAGTTTTAGATGTGGCTTGAAAATTTGGTCTACCTTCTCATGTTAGGATTCTCATTCTGTAAATGTCAACTTGTAGTCCCTGGATGCTCCTTATCTTCCTTTTTGTATGCAACTTATAATGCCTCATGTCTAAGGTGTTACTTGGACTTGTTTTTAATAATTCTCCTGTGTCGGTGTGCTCTATTAGACCCCAATGTAACACATTGATCTAGTTAATAGAATTTATAAATGGTTCGACCTCTAGGCCTTGTTGAAGTTTTATTGGAATCATGTGATTCCCTCAGAATATGCTGCTGGTTCTTCATTGTTTATTCATTTTCAATAACATCTGCTTTCATCCTTGCTTGGATAGCTGCAGCATCACCCCCATGGGGGGAAGGAGAAAGGTCTTTAAAATGCAAGGGTTCCTAGTGTGTTCTCTGGGTTGAGTCTGTCTTTTGTTCTTCTCTATGGGTATTGCCAATTGGTGTTGGTATATGGCACTTGTCCAAGTAGGAATTCAAATCACATAAACTGCCAAAAAATCCGTCGTCATTCTATCTACAAAATTGGATGTCATAGTCAGTCTCCCTGTGAACCCCCTTGCAGCTTCTGGTGTTTTTTCTGGATATTAGCATAGAAAGTCTATTGCTTATAGAGATCAAACACCATGGCTTGCAAGATATATGGACTTGGAATCTTGAAGATTAAATTATTAGTTCATGGGCCTACTGGTTCAATTCTCTATGAAATGGAAGCGCTGCTAACCAGTGTTTTAAAAGGCGTGGGAGGCGTACGCCTGGAGGAGCGCCTCCAGGCGAGGCACTCCCAAAACACCCTGAGGCGTATGCCAGAGGCGCTGACACCTCTGAGGCGTATGCCTCAGGTGCAAGAGGAGTATGCCCCATGCGCTTTTTTCATGAGGCGTACACCTCATGTGCCTCATGTACATCTTATATAAAAAGAAAAAAAAAGGAAAGGAAAGGAAAGGAAAAGAAAGGTAAGGGAAAGAAAAAGAAAGAGAAGAAAAAAGAGAAAAGGAAATAAAAGGAAAGGAAAGGGAAGGAAAGAAAAGATAAGGGGAAAGAAAGTGGTTTGCCCCTTGCCCCTTTGGCTGGGGGGCAAAGCCCCTCAGACGCCCCCCGCCCCCTTTTCAATGCAGACCAATTTGTTTGTTTGAGTTAGGGGTCCGCTCCGGCGCTTTGACAAGACCCTCCCTTTCCACTAATGTTGTGCATTTTTATTCTTCTTAATATAAAAGATTTTTATTAAAAATGAGATCCCCCCCCCCTTTCCTCTTCTTCCTCCTAACCCCCTCCTCTTAAGGAGGCTTATGCTTCCTTGTGTCCGGGAGGTTTACGCCTCTTGCGTTCTGAACTATGCCTCACACCTCTAGGTAGTGGAACGCCTCGCATCACGCCTCTGCGTTTTAAAACATTGCTGCTAGTTTACCAAATAGACAACTCTGTAGTTCCATGTATTTAGTAACCTGGGTGGTTAATTGTTATATGACCATGTAGGGTCACAATCTGATCTGTTTTACTCAACTGTTATTGATTTTATTGTTCTGGTGCTTCAGACTATCCTGATTTGATTTAAATTTGATATGTTGTCCTGGAATATGATTTGGAAATATCTTGCCCTTCCATACTTTGTTATTCCTTGTTGTATCTTCCTTTGCTGTCACCACAAAATTCAACCTTTAGTCCAAGAAATTTTTATGGGCTGGACTGGTGAGTGGTGACTTGTTTTTTTTGCTATTCTTCCAAACAGACTATTGCAGAATCTGTTGCAGATTGGTATTTTGACCGAAAAGTAGTGAAGGAAATTGATTGCCCCTATCCATGCAATCCTACCTGTCATAATATGGATTTTAGCGGAGGCCTATGAGGATCAGGATCATTTCAGTGTCAATTGAGCTTTTGATTTTAAATCTGGCTGATTACTCCATGTTATTGGCACAACTTCTCTTCACATGTATAGAAATTGAAGTTGTGAAGGAATGCCCATGGAGATGGAAAATGAAGGGACAGAAAGTTTATTGGTAACTAATTTGTTCTCCCGTACTAATAGAGAAAATTATGTAGCTTACTGGTTTGTTCTGTAATTAAAGAGAATTATGTGGTTTGTTGGCTTGTGTACATCATGGATTCTCCTTTCTACTTTTTATCATTTAAAATCCATTCCCCGATCCTTCATGGGTACTTCATAAAAAAAAGGCCATTACCGAATGTTGGTCCCAGTTTTTGGGGTCTTTAGTCTTGGGAGGGGTAGATCCAATATAATTTGATTGATTTAATTATGTATGTTCATGTATACTTGAAAATTTTTATTGTATCTATGTTGAGTTGTTGGGCCTATCGATCTGTGTGAGCTCTTTATTCTTTTATTATTTGTCTTTTATTTTATGTTTATGAGCTTTAATTGTAATGGACATAAGTCTCTTTTTTATATACTGTTAATGGCTTTCTTGTAATACACATTTAAGAGTTCAACTATGGTACATTTAGTAATATTTGCTGCACGATAAACCCAGATATCAACTGTACATTTAATTGTAATGGCTTTCGCATTAAAGTCTGTTTACTTTTCATTAATTCATGTTTCAAAAATGTACTTTCACATTTAACAGGGTGTGCTTATCATTACATTCAACCAATCACATCATTTGTTTTATGGTACAGCAGATGTACCATACGTTTTGCCCACATTTAATTATGCTCAGAATTAGATCAAATAAAACTCCATTTGGGGGCCAGGAGATAGCCACAATCTCTTTCCCAAACAAACTTCTCTATTGATTTGAACTCTCTTCCATTTTCTTCTTAAGATTTGATTAATCTGTGAGGATTATTGCTGTTTTGTTTTTTTAGTAGAGGTGGTTTGGATGTAGTATTTTTACTAAATCGTCTTAAGGTTAAAGTTTCAGGCAAGTAATTTTCAATTCAATTTTTTCATGAAATGCAATATCAAATTTATTTTTAGTTCATTTTATTAATAGTATATAATACTCCGATCATTTTTAGTTTAATTTATTTTACTATTTAATATCTAATTGCAATCTGAATTTAATTCAAATTTGATATAAACCTATGAATAAATCCGATTTGAATCTGAAATTCTGAATATAAATGAATCAAATTGGAATTTGCCTGCATCCAGTTCAATTTGATCGTTTGTAGCTCTACTAAAAGGAAAACTGGGATGAAAACTAAGTTGCATTTGGTTAGGCAGCCAATCAATGAATCAATTTGTGAACAGTTGTCTTTTTCTCAGGAAAAAAAATAATAATAATATCGTTGATTGACTTCATCTTTCTTTTTATTTATGTTGGAGCAAAGTTCAAAATATCGATACGCCGGCAGGGAATAGATTGTTAAGGTCATTGTAATAAGAACTTGGAAATCCTCCTGGCAGCGCTAGGGGTACTAAACATGGTTGTTTGATAAGATCCTATTCAGACAGACTTGATCATGCCTCGTTAGTGAAAGTTGAATTGTCCGACTCCTGTGGGGAGTAACGCAATGCGCAATGTGGTTAGAAGCTGTGTGAGCGAAGTTTTTGCTTGCAGTTCTAACTGTTAAGCCAGTCCCTGTGACTCTGAGTTGCTCCACAAGGAAAAAAGTAGATTGGAATGAATTGCCAGGTGATATATTTCAAATATTGCTCATTGGCATTATAGTAGAGCCTGGATCTTCTGAAAATGACAACTGTATGAATGCTCTTAGTCTGATAGTATGTCATCCAACTGCACATTGGGAATATCTTTCATGCAAATATGTTAAATTCTTAGGGAGATGTTTTCCATGATGATTGGACACTGTGCTTTTAGAGTGTTGGCACAACTTTTACCTAGTGCTTGTTGCAATCCATTGATATGACACCTACGGTCCTAAATCCTAATGGATCTATATCTTCCAAGGTGTGGATGCTGTGGTGTTAGTGCTGGCATGGTTTTTACTTAGCGCAGTAGCGTTTGCATCAATCCATTGATGTGACACCTATGGCCCTAATGGGGGCTTGGATCTGTTGCCCACAAGTTGTTCCCACATCTCTTAGAGTGGGAACATTTCGTGGGCAACAGCAGTGTGGGAACATTTTGTGGGTAACACATCAGAAGTGTCTTAATGGACTTATTTCTTCCAAAGGTGTCTCTTAGAGTCCGAAACCCAGTTAATTGTTTTTTATTTTATTTATTTTTCTCAGATGAAATGACGAAAAGACTTACTTTTTAGTGGCACCACATGAATTCCCTTCAACAAGAATTCACTTTGCAAAAGACAAAAAAAAAAAAAAAGAAAGTTGCACAAAACTTTTGTTAGGATAATGTTGTAGTGGAGGGCTAAAACCGAGAATCAAGGCCATAGATGTATTGGTATGGTCTCAGCAAGACGTCATTCCAGTGAAGGTGGCGGAGCGATGGATCAAAGATTTTAATTTCATTGTTTTAATTAATGCAGCGCTACGCCATTGTCACAGCAAAAGTGGTTTGCTTCAAGAAAGGGCCACTTTTTACTTTCTAGGATTCATCATCACTCATGTGGCGGAGGAACTCGGCAACTGGGTGAGGTGAGGCCTTGAAGGCATCAATAAAACACATTGGATCTGCTGCTCTACACTGCACACCCCATCATCCTTTTCTCTCTCTCTCTCTCTCTCTTTTTGTTTGAGGAGGCTCAGGTTCATCTGTTCTAAACTTCTAATCCCCATATGAAAGAGCTGTATGCGATCCCAGATCCGAAAAAATCGTATCTAATCATTCTTTTGTTATCGTATTCTATTGTTCACAAAATGTAACAAGGTTGAGGGTTCCGTTCGGATAACCGGATCCAAGGTGAGACTCCAAAAAGGCTGATGCATTGGACTGCGACATACGATGATCTCTCTCCCGTGAAGAAATTGAGAAATTGAGAATTAGTGTGGCGACTGTACGTAGGTCCAACGAAAACGAATCTCGTTTAAGACCCAAATCCTATAATTAGGATACTGGTCGAGTATGGTCTGGCCCATTCCATTCTATTCTATATAGTATATGATCAAGTCATGAAGCCCTGTCAGTGACCCGGCTGGCTGCCTGTAACCTTGCTATGGCCCATGGCAGGCCCAATGAAATGAAATGAAGGAATAAAAAAAACAAACAAATTAAGTTGCAACTTTGAAACTGTAGTACTACTGTATTGGTGTTATGTTTACTAGTGTAATGACACGAATCAAATGCTATGTACGTGTGTAAGTATTTTTACAAGGCAATTATATAATCACATTTAACTTTTATGGCCTTCTATAAAATCAAACCAACGCAAATATCCATTTTATAAATTAAAAATATAAATATAAAATAATAGGTAATGTGCCATTATTCTTGCGTATATCCCAACTATAAAATAAAAATAAGTCAGAGTTTTTGAACTTTTAAACATACAATACAATACAATAATAGTAGCAGTAGGTCACGGGGAGGAAAAGACCAAAACATCAATCAAGTCAGACTCAGACCTCAGACCTCAGAATAAAGAACAAATTATAGCAAGAAATACATACTCAACAATTGTGACTTCTGACGTGTGAGAGTAGATTTCTAGTTCCGGAGGCAACAAGTTTTCAAGAGGATTACGGTCATTGTTTGAGACTTGTAAGTGAGAGAGAGAGAGAGAGAGAGAGCAAGTTGGTTTCATTTTCATACAAACCCCCAATTCCCATTGTTTAGTTTAGTTGTTTTTCTTGAAAAAAATTATTTAATTTAGGAGTTAGGACTTTGGAGGTACATATATTTATTGCAAGTTGGAATTTGGAAACCTATTTCTATTTCTATTCCTTTATAGTTCTATTAATTTATTAATCTTGAGCTGAACAATAGCTTGGTGGCATTAAAATTTGCCAGGGAAGTCACCGGTTGACTAAACAAAACTGATATTCTAAAGTTACAGAGAAACCTTCCCCCTTTTTTTAAATAAAGAACCGCGTTGAACAGGGCTAATGAAGTTCTCACAACTCTTATCTCCGAAGTGACTTGCCTGTCTTAATTAATTAACCAAAAACTTCAATCCAGAATGCTAAGTGCTTCATACATAGCTTGGCTTCTCATCCCACACTGCCATTGGTACACACATGCTGCGCATCAAAGTCCTGGCCCCTTGGTGCATCTGTCAACGGTCTGGTTCGACCCAATAGATCATAGTTGATCTGGCCCTACTGTAATTTATAATAGGGTTAGAACAGGATTGGCATTTTAAGAAATGTTTGTAGATGACGGAGAGAGAGAAATCAACAAGGTTTATTTTCAAATTGAATTGGGCCCGAGTCTACACTGTCCCAAGTCCCAACCCATTGACAGGTCTTGTCCTGACTCTGAGGAAGGGTTGGCAAGATCACTAAAAGCTTCATCTTTTCCAAGGATTGCTGAAGCATTAAGTTTCGGTTTGACTCCTCTCTCTAAACGGCATTTAGAGCGTGGGGATGGAATAGCTTTTCAATGTACGAGTATGAAGATATGAAAGGAATTGGTTGGTTGTTGAAAGAAATAAATAAGGTGACATTTGGCAAGTTTTTTTTATACATCTTTACGAGACTGGTTGGTTAAGGCATGTCTTTTTGTGCAAAGACGCGATAAAGAAAAGTTAAAAAAAGCTTCATGTGGAATTTTTCTAAATAACACAAAACAAGCTTTGCACGTATTTTTTGATGGCTAAATCTTTCCCAAACGAAACGGGAAAAGACCAAAACTCAAGCTGCCAGACTTCTAAACAGCTAACAACCCCCATAAAGAGACACCAAACTGGGCCTAAATAAATAATGGGTTGATCACATTATTCAAATATTCAATCACAAACTCTACCATTGCTTGGTGCAGTTGAGCAGTTCAGCCTGAGAATGCAGGTTGCAGTTTGAGAGTGCTCACTGGTCAGAATCCTATCGACACCCCAAAATAATAGAGGCCTTCTTCCCATGGAAATGGACAAAATAGTAACATAACCAATGCCCAGATCATGGGCTTCATTAACAATCACTACATCAGTTGATTGCATCGCATCACTGGCAACAAGGTGCTCAAAAGGCTACTACGTTATCATAGTTCTGAAACCCGTAATCTTTCCTCACCATAACTAGTAGTAATAAGCTCCAATTTTTTGCTCCTTTTAACACATCATTTTTAAGAGAAAGTACCAATTCAAAGTTTCCGCTTACTGGTATCTTCTCATATTACCATTAAAAAGCAGAAGGTTCCAACAATGGTGAATAGAAAGTAAGGGAATAAATTGAAAGATTCGAGGCCAAGGCATTGCTCTTTTAGTTATTAATTTGCATAATGGAACTCCTTGGAGGAGCACCATTTATTAGAAAATTACAAGTATCTATGGCAGCTTAAAATTAAAATGCAGCAGCTTGTACACCTTTACAGTTTTCCCACCACCTGATACACAAGTCACAACTAGTCTCTCTGTCTCTCTCCGCAGTTGTTCAAAGTATGTTACAAAGGTGAACGGGAAGAAAAAAAAAGGAAAGAAATTAAAAATGAAATAAAGAAACAAAAAAGCCTGGTTTTTGTTTTCTGTGGATTCTCTCTCTCTCTCTCTATATATATATATTATATTATATTATATTATATATATATTTTCTGTTTACACACACGACCGCCATATCCTTCCCTCCAACGAAATAACAATGATAGAGATATCATCATGGTACCGCCGACGATCCCCCTGTGGTATTTCTAGCAACTCATGAAAGTCCATACCTGCAATTTGTGCATTATATATAAATAATCAAGTCAAATCTAGTTTGCTTTCTCAGTCATTTTTCTTACTTGTCTTGTTTTAATCTGTTGGTTTTGATTGAAACTTGAAACATGGAACTTACCAGCTTTCTTTGCTGCACGAAATAGGACTTCTTCAACAAGGTGTTGTGCGGGATCCCCTTCGGGCCATGAAGCAATGAAAAGTTCAACTTCAGACACAGCCTCTTCATTGGTGAAGTATTGGTAGAGTCCATCGGATGACAGTATCAAAAACCTGTCTTTAGGGCCCACTCTATGGTGATAGAGAGATGGGGAACAGGTGATGTATGGGGAAGTTCCTACATAGTCAATTCTGAACATCTCCAGAAGTGCATTGTTCCATTTGGGCTGCAGAAACCCAGAGAAGTCGTGTATCAGAAATGATATAAAAAAAAAAAAACAACACATCTAACCAAACGAGACGTGTAGAAAAGAACAGCATTTTCAAACTCTGCCTGATCTTGGAATTTCTTTTGAATCGACATCAAGATCTTTTAACAACAACTAATTTCTCTATTTTACAGAAGCGCCAATTCAGGGCAGGAATAACCATCTTCATGCTGTGCATCTATTTCAAAAATTACGGAGTTCATGGTTGGTCTGGACCAAATTTCAGTGAAGTGATTCCTGTCCTACCTAAAGCAAAGATCCATCACATTGTTGTGGTCTACTATTGAAGTTATAACTATACCTAACAATGTTAATAGTAGTATTTTATACAATAAGGAGTTTTTTTCAATTTTGGCAGAAAGAGGACCACAACCATAGGAGAAATGGTGAAATAGAACCAGATTTAATGGGCATTCGTTTGATCAATTATGTGTGTGATGCAAATGTGAATTATCAAAAAAAGAAAATACCTGTTTCAGAAAGCCAGCGCCAAAAGCCCGTGTGACCTTCAAGGAACCTTTCACGCGGTCATTTGTGACAGCAGAAGCATCATCTGGGTGTTCGTTCTTTATTCTCTGGACTTCCTGAAATACAACATAAAACAAAGGTCATATATTGCTGCTGAATCCGCAACTCCAGATCCACGGAAGCCTATCAATCATCCATCCTATAGAGGAGATTCCAGACTGTGTATTGTGTATGGTTGAGAGAGGCTTGAAATCTTTGTTTGATTCTTTTGTTCTTTCTTTCTTTCTTTCTTTTCGATAGGAAGGTTGTAGGACTTTACCTCCTCGATAGAAGTACTGTGGTCGATAGTGAGCTGAAAGGCAGCTAAGTTGGATAATGTGTCGAATCGATCACCACCAGATGCTTCAAGATCATACAGAGTTTCCTCATTGATCCGTTCCAAGTCCTGCCGGGCTTTTCCTAGCCAAAGGTCGGGCTCTGCTTTATGAGCTAATACCGCTCGACTATCACCCACATTCATCAAGTAGACATCTTCTCCTTTCATTAACATTACCAGAACACATGAACCCATCAGAGCCAGCTCCGGATTTTCCATTACCATCTTATCCGCGATATCTAAATAGGCTTCCTCCGTCTTTCTCAAAGCTTGAGAAAGAGCTTTTAAGACGTCCGAGTGATTAATAGCCGCCTCCGCCGATCCCTGTGAATTAGAACGACTCAACTGTTCCTTGAGCTTCCGATCAAGCTCCAACCTCTCTCTGTCCCATTCACACTTCCACCTCCTCTGACTCTCCTCCCATTTCTTCGCTGCCCCTTTATACCTGTTCTTCGAGTTCCTACGACGACTTCTCTTGGGATTCGAATTAGCATCTTCAACACCAGACGGAGACGGATAATTTTCCGGCTCCACACAGTGAGAGCAACCAGCAGCCGTTCGATCGCATACCCTACCCTGATCAGACTCGTCGGATGTGGATGTATGAGAGGTAGCCGTAGCATCCTTTTCCACATTAGGACCCGTGGCTACGGGAGTGGGGGAGGCGGGGGTGATGGTGGAAGGAGATTCATACTTGTCATCCCATAATAACCCCTTGAGCTCCTTGTGCACAGCAGAATAGAGATTAGAGAGAAGATAATCGGGCGCATCAGGGCCATTGAATCCATCATAAATCCCGACGAAAACCCACCCGTGTTCCTCGGAGATCACAACATGGACTCGATCTTCCCCGGCTTTCCCTTGAGCCCATTGAAGATTCTGGCTTTCGAAAGAATAGTCGTCATCCAAGCTCCCTTCGCTGCTCAAATTTGTGCTACTGACGGTGAGGTTCTCCCCGTTCTTCTCCGACCCAACAACCCAATCAGATTCTTTGACGGAGACGACCCCTTTGACCGGGGCAACCACGGAGTTCTGACCACGACTGATGGTCTTTGCGATGGCCTGCCGGAGAACCTGAATCAGAGACCCCTTTTTGAATCTTGGTCTAAACGCATAACCCCCATGAGAGAAGCTCCTCTGAAACTGATCAGACCCCTTATCCAGAGGACCTGAAAACAAGCCACGCTCAAGAGGTCCAGACATAAAGCCTCTCTCGATCGGACCAGATAAAAATCCCCTATCAAGGGGACCGGAACCCATAACTCCCCCGAAATTTCCGGACAATGGGCCAGAATTCATGAGATAGCGAGGAATAGGTTGCAGGGGAATGAAAGCAAAGGAGGTAGAGCTTTCAAAAGCGGCAGCTCGATCAAGACTGTTATAGGAATAGAGATCAACAAAAGCTGTAGAGAGAGGGGTAGACGTGTTAGCACTTACAGAAGCGCCAGAGATGGATCGAAAGGTGGTGGTCTCCTCGGAGTAAACCTTGGAGGAGGAGAGACGAGAGGGATCGGGGCGAACGTAGCAGAAGGAGTGACCAAGACCTTCATCGAGAGGCTCGGCTATGTCATGACCGCGGCGAACTCCACCGGCGCCGAGGAAGCAGGAGGTGCCAAGCTTCCCGCAACCGTTACCCATGGAAGATAACCGAGAGATAGAGAATTTCGGGCGTTACAATCCCCAGAATCGATATATCATTGCCGATATTTAGTGTCCGCTTTTTCTTGATGTACCTTTTATCTTTTATGGTTTAAGAAGAGGAGAGAAGCAAACAGCTCTTAATTCAAATAATAACTAATAAGAGAGAGAAAGAGAAAGAAATGTGGAGGAGGAGGAGGATTGAGGAAGAAGAAAGAGGAAAAAGGAGGAAGAGATGAAGAAGCCAAGAAGGGGGCGAAGGAAAGGCGTTGACTTTTGGGTATGGGTTTTGAAAAGAAATTAAAAAAAGTTGATTTTTTTTTGTTGAGAATTAAGACTTTGAGAGTTGAGACTTGAGAGAGAGAGGAAAGGGGGAGGGGGGCTGGTTTGGCTTTGTGGGGAGGCGTTGACTAACTACTAAATATATAAGAATATGAATATGAAGGCAGGGTTAGGGTTTTGGACTTTTTGGGTTGCTTTTGGCGAGTAAACGAACGAAAGCTGATAAGGTGAAGTCGAAGAAGAAGGGAGAGCTAATAATACCAAAAAGTCAAAGACCGAAATCCAACCCTCCTTAAAGGGAGAGCTAATAAATTCAGCCGTTGGATTCTGGTAAAAGTCAGATGATCAGTGATAGTTGACCGGCACGTGGCCGTTTAGAGTCGCAGCCGTGGACGTTCATCTAAACCTGTGGCTGTGAGAGACAAACAAGCACAGCACTCCACTTTTGTTTTTATTTTACTTTCAGACAGCTGACTTTTATTTTGGTTATCCCTTATTTATTTTGTTTAGTTAAAAGCTAGGGAAGTGTAGGGTGTAGACTGTAGAGTAGAGAGGGCAGAGGAGGATATCTTTCAGATAGATTTCTCTCTCTCTCTCTCTTCTTTATTTATTATTTATATTTTGGGGCGCAGATGTGAACTCGGAAGGGAAGGGGATGGAGTTTTCCATTAATAATTTTATTTTGGTGGGGAGTTGGGTGGTTGGATGTAGCTTATTACTACCGCGTGAGCATTATTCAGCAACCTGACGGAAATGCCCCTGCTCTCAGTTGACTTGAAATCCCTTGATTCCCTCCCTCATTGAACGGCTCAGATCCCCCTTTGCCCAAAACATCTCGAGCCAACCGCGTTGACGAGGAAACATTTTTATATGTATATATATATATACATATATATATATATATATATATATATATATATATATATAAATTATAAAGGCGAGCAAGTGGATCCCATGCCCTTACAGCGTCACCAAGTAGGACTGTAGGTGGAGGTGGACTATTTTCTTTTTTTTTCAGTTGGTGTAAATTTGTAATGGTGTGGTATGGTCGTCCTTTTATTTATTTATTATTATATATTTAGATTTGGATTTTGGAGGGTCCAAACTCCATTTATAGGTGTTTGTTTGGGAAGGGGGGTGATGGAAGGAATAGACTTTTAATTAGAGGCAGAGAGAGATATGAATGATCATCATCAATTACTTCATTGAATTCATCGTAATTAATTGGGTTTTAATATTAATAATGGTGAAGTCAGTAATGGTTTTTAGGGGCAACAATTAATTAATAGGTTTAAAGCGTGAATGCTGTATCATTTTAAACGTGGGATAAGATTGAAGAAAACCCAAACCCAAAGGTCAAAATATGGAAGGAGCAAAGTCATACACAACAGTTGCACACACACACCCACAAGGCAGCCACCACCCCTCGGCCCTCACCCTCGTTCTGATTGACCGTTGACGACGACACATTTTCTCTCCATGAGAAATCAGAATCCGCGCTTCCTATTGTATTGACTTGCTAATTAATTTGCTATTGCAAATTATTTGCAATGTGGATGGCCAGGCCAGAGGCCTACGCGGAAGTCGGAACGCCTCCTAATAGTAATTAGAGTACTACAATTATGATCATACAGTTCTGCAAGTGCAATCTACACTCTACACTACAAATGTTTACGGTGTATCATTTGCCTACCCACTCCCACTCATAAAATAAAACTGGGACAGGTGGCTAAATTGTGGGGGCCATGTGGCAATCCACCACCCGTATCCGGTACCCCATATTCATCCACTTCATACTCTCACTGTGCGTGCTATACATAATTGCATCCAACACCTGGAAAATAAAAGAAGCAAAAATAAAAAGTTATAAAATAAAGAAAGTGGATGAATGGGTTGGGGGTACAATATATATATATATATATATATATATATATATATATATATATATGGCCCACCTCAGTTCCCTCACCTTATGATTATTATAGTCTCTAATCTTTAGGGTATAAAATATGCCAAGGGAAAGCCTATGAATGATAAGCATAAGCCTACGCATCTTCTTATATACAAACAAGAGAAAAAGCTCAATTTCCACTTATATATAACTAATACAAACAAATCCCCCCCCCCTTGAGAATTTCAAAGATACCATCATTGAATAAGGCAAGTGGAGACACCTTCCTAAACCACCATCTATCCCCCTTTGTCCCACCCCACCCACTCTTTCTAATTCTTCCCCCCTTTCCACATCCCACCCATCTCAACCCTTATTCTTACCACTCTCCATTCCTTTGGCCAACTAATCTATAATGTATTTTAGTTTTAGCTCAGACAAACAACCAAAGAAATAAAAACAAGATACACAACACCCCCCCCCCCCCTTCTCTTGAAAATTTTATTTTGTTTACTGGAGAAAGCGAGATGGGGGAGAAGAAAAAGTAAATATAATTTCTTTTTTTTAAAAAAAAAAAAAAAAAAGTCACAAGTTCACAACCTTAGACTCAGCCCTAGAAGCTTCCTTGGTCTCCTGTCTGAATATTTGAATAATACACGTCATTCCTCTTAGTTCTAGGTTGGGCCAGCATTTGCTTTACCCCTTCCCACCATTATTTATCTTGGACATCATTAGTTATTTGTGCGGTATTGATCCATTTTTTATTCTCTGCTTTGACTTTTTTTTCACCTGACACTTTTAAAAATAATAATAATAATAATAATAATACCTTCTTCATTGCCAATTTTATAATCCAATTCCTACCAATCTTTTGTCTTCTCATTCGCACCGAAAAATATTTACCTGACTCGGCTTCAGATTGTCAGACTCTGACGCTCTGCTTGAATGTCTAACTTTGTTCAAGTCTAATCAATCTGGTCTAAATTCTAAAATGGCTCATCATCAAATAATCTGGTCTAAAATGAATTTCGATTCAGGTCTGGAGTTGTCACTTTCATTGAATCCCCAAACCAGTTTAGTATACTTCCTTGTTTTCGTTGATAACTCAGTTCAGTATTCACACAAATACATCAGACTCGATCGAACTCAAACAATTAACCAAAGGACATCCTCCATCTGCCAAAGCCGTGAGAGAGAAAATCAAAGTAGGAAAAAGGTTTGTTTATACGAGAAGAGTAAAATGATGTGGTCCAACTTTATAAGAGAGGGCAAAGGTTTTGCATCAGTTTTGAGGACAAAAGACATGTATTACCATGAATGCAAATGAACGGCCATTGTTTGGTGTGTAGTTGTAAAACCTCCAGATGAACAGCATGACAACACACAACATTGAAGCCAGAGAGCGGCCATTTTTGTACTAAAAAGTACCAAAGAAGTCCATATCCGATCCACCCCTTCAAGCAACCCAGATAGCTGGGAGCCTAGGACCAAACATTGGGTAAACAAAGAGACAACAGTACAGACTACAGAGTCTCCAACTGATGAGGGTAGTGATCCATTGCCGGCCTAAAGCTGTTGATCAGCGTTTATTTTGGTTTTTCCTTCGTGGCAACTTTTTTGTGTGTGTGTAAAATTTTACTAAAATTCTACACAAAGGAACAAAAGTGGGAATTTTATGGTGATGACAACCATGGATGGCTGACATGGAGTGCATTGATAGCAGACAAACCCACGAATAGGGATGAATGGCCTACACGGATGAACAAGTATTCCCATTCTTCCACACAAGATATATATATATATATATAGCTAGCTGCAGCCTGCCTGCAGATCATAGGTGCTGTATTCAATATTCTTCCAAGTTCCAACCAAAAGGACAGGTGGCCAGTCAAGTATCTCATTATTTAGATTTTGGAGTGAATGAATAATACTCATAGCTAGCCAGATATCGTCAACCCCTTGGAAATTTCATTCACACAATACTCCAAATATATATCAAACAAGGTATATATACCAAATTTCCAAGTAGCTACAAGATTTATAGAAATATATGATCCTGATGATCCTGATCAGAGCATGCAGAATGATGAGGGAAAAGGATTCATGCATGCAGTTGGGAGTTGGGACAATGCTTGATGGAGAGAAAAAAAAAAAAGGATTCAAGGATTTTATTTAACAGTTTAAGCTTTTCGTTGAATGGTTCTTTGAGATAAATTTTCTACGCTTGTTTAAACTCATCTTATGTAATACTTAATAGCGAATATCACTAAGCTTTCATGATGTTTTTCTTTAAAGCCTAAAAGACTTGGATTTCCTCTATTCTTTTACTTTCAACTTCTCTTTAAGTTTTAAAATAAAAATATTAGTTAATAGAAGTTTTACCGATTGGTATTGCTCCACACATTGGAGCAGGGTGCTCATGTGAACACCAGACGTGTTCGTTTCTGATTGGAAGTGCACCCCTGCCCCACACCATTGTGATTTTTGAGTGCAGGAGATCCGGATATCCCTAATCCACATCGATCATTAGATAACCCTGGCAAATGGCACTGTGGCAACGTGTTAATGATGACCGAATCCAGATCTCTTACTCACAAGAACCCTGTCCATGTTTATCGCAATCATACATGGAGAATATCTCATCCTCTACATAATATTATGCAGGGAAAGATATTTCCAATTCACAGGGAATAGTATGTTATGGATAGACGTGGGCAGGAGATCCGAACCCATGATGACCTACTTGTGTGGTGGCCCTTGCTGAAATTGGTGGGTATCATTTTCTTGGCCTAATTCTCAGAGTCAGGGGGTCCTTCCTGCTGGCTCCCCATAATATAGTACAAGCTCCTGCTCCTGGTGAGCTTGTCCTGTACGTCAACCAGTGTCCATGCTTTCAAACTAGGAAATTGTACAGCCCTTCTTCCTTACCAATATCGCTCTCTCTTCAAGGCTGTTTTTTGTTTAGTTTGATAGTAAATAAGAGAAATAGGCAAGTGT